CCCATTCCCTTGAGTAGCAAAGACAAGTTGGCTGAAAGGAAGAGAAATAAAGGTGTTTGATGTAGACAAACTATTTCAATAAAGATACTGAAGATTTTAGTAATTAGACATTTTCTCCTAGAAGATGTCTTAAATACTGCTTATTTAAATGAGATAATGAGGGGGTAAAGTCCCTGAAAAATAAAAAAACCCAAACATTAAGGTAGGGAAGATTAGTATAATTTCATGGTACAAGATAAATTATCATCAGCTGCATGTGACTAGATCTCCCAGTAGGCCTAGATTCCTAAATCCAAAGGAAATTATTTTTGAAAAAGATAGCTAGATCTGTCACAAAAAGTTCCAGCATCCTGTTTTGCAGCATGTGACATGGATTTTAACAAGTGGCATCTGCTTAAAGCTCATTCTGACATGTTCTGCTTAGTGGAATTTTTTTTCATCTTTTGCACAACTTAGGGGTTTTTTGAGGAATCTTAGAAAAGTTAAGTTTTTTTGAGTAAAAGAATATATTTTTAAGTATGCTGGTTTACATCAAGGACTTGGTTGTGGTGTTTGCTTGCCAAGCTCCATTACAGGCACAGAAGACAGACAAACTAAAACAAATACTGGCAGATCCTAGAAGAATGCAACCATGTTTAAGACTCCAACAGCAAAACTCAGTTTGAGAGCCATAGTATTTAAATGAGGGCACTGAGCAACATACTCCCCTGTCTGAAGACACTGAAACATAAGGCAAGGCAAATAAGGGAGACAATGCAAATACAAAGGATCTGTGTGAGGTTATCGGCTGATCCAGAAAAGAAAAAAAAAAAGGAAAAAAAAGGGGGAGAAAAAAAAGGAAAAATAAAGGGGAAAAAAGAATAAAAACCCCCAAACTGTTATTTGTATGCAAAGAGTAAGAAACTGAATTATTTCAGTTACATAACAGAAAAACTCAGGATATGTATTTGGGATACACATGAGGAGAATAACTTAGTGCAGGTTCTTGAAAACTGAGTAAGTATATCTGGAAAAAGTTGAGTGGCTGGATTTGGAATAAAGAACTTAACCTAAAGGGTATTGCTTGTTCTGTCTCCTAAGGCACCTGGAGGGTTCCTTGTCTGTCAAAAGAGGTTGCTATTAATTCACTACACTGTAGTCTAGGGCATTAAAATGCCCTAAAATGATCTATTGGAAAGAAGAGAATTTAAAAACTATGGAAACGTATCTAATTATTGAACTGTTAAGCTAAGGATGAACGGTATTGCTAACTGGACCTGGGAAGCCATTTTATGTAATACAATTTTCCACATTTTAATTGATTGAAGAGGTACTCACCACAATATTTTATTTATTCTGTGACTAAAAAAAATCCACCACTAACATTTTTAAAGACTGTCACAGCCATTCAGAGCTAGCAATAGTAACTACATCCTTCTGATCAGCACAGTACAAGTATGTTGCAGCAAATGGCCTCTTTCATTTTTGTCCTGTCATGCACTCATGTTATAACCTAGGTCAATTTTTGTGAGGCCACCTGAAAATGCACCAAGTAATGGTGATCTGACTAGTGACCTTAGTTATAACTGCAGTGTTCATCTTGGAGCTTTTCTGTCACTTTCTCCTGTGCTAGATAGCAAGGAGTGAGAGCCAAACACATGATCCGTGTCAAACCAAACCTCAGGCAGGAAGGAGATGAAAGCACAAGTATTAAGTTCTGGGATCAAATTAGCCTTTGACCCCAAAAGGCTTTCAGCCCCGCGACCCTTAGTGATAGAGGATACTATGTTACCCCAAGTAATTTCAGTAAACCAAGCAAATTTTTGTTATTAATACCACTCAAAATGCTTATGTGTTAAGTGGGGACTGAACTAGGGCAATGTCTTCAAGCACTGAGCTCTTTTGGGAAAATCTTGTATTGAAAATTAAATTACAAGTTAGGGGATTTTGAATAGCATACATAGTACTTCAACAATTTCAGTGGCTACTCACTACTTCCTAGCAATGGCAGTGAGCTGGACTGAGAAACTGAACCAGCTTTAAAACACAGAAACAGAAAACACAGAAACACAGAAAAAGTAAAACAGGGGCGAAAAAAAGGAAAAGAAAGGGTTATGCAGTAGGCAGAATGCAAACCAGTTTGCTTCCTGGCTGCCCAAGGATGACAGGATCACTGTGTGAAAGCTAGTGTAAGCTGGGTACATGCAGCAGGAACTGGAAAAAGCAGGTACTCTGGAGTGCCCTGGGCAGCACCATAGCTGCACCCACCATAAGAGTTTTAATTTTTAGTGCTCTATCCTCCGTTGAGCTTCCAAGTTCAATCCATTTTGCCACAAGTCTATGTGTTCACTTCTTTCCTGATTTGGACCTGAAGGTGATCAGAGTTAACCAGCAGCTTTCTTGAATTAGAGTATTACTGTATTCAGAATTAATGGTTGAAGGGTTGATGTAATTATTAAGTTTTTAATTTTTGGCTATTCCTGACAAGAGCCCAGTGTCTTCAGCACAGCATCAACATCAGCTTCTTGCTGCAGTATCAGTGAAGCATTTTTCTTTCATGTTCACTCACATCAGTATTAGACTTTTACTCCAGTCTTCTAAGCATCTAGTAAAAACTGAGACAAGTTATAAAAAAAAACCAAAACAAACTGTAGATATCAGTAAGAGATATAATCTAGATTTCAAGTTTTATTGCTGCCTGATTCTATGATGATTATTTTGGCTAAGTTTCTTGGTAGATTCAGTGAAAACTAATGTTGCAAAATGTCCAGATTATTTTAAGTCAGGATGTTCTTTGATGTAAGATCTTCATAAACTTTCATGCCTAATCAGCAAGAAAGGAGACCTAATCAATGTGGACCCTGAGATTAGCTCAGCTGGTTAGAGAATGCTGCTAATAACACCAGGGTTGTGGGTGTGATCCTTGTATGGGCCATTTACTTAAGAGTTGGGCTTGATGATCCTTGTAGGTCCCTTCCAACTCAGAATATTCTGTGAAATGGAACAGGCAGCAGTTAGCAACCCTTACTCAAGGACATCCGGAACTAACAAGCTTTAAGAATGTAGTAAATCAAGATGTTGACGTATGTCTATGTATACATTGCTAACTTGGCAAAATACTCAAGGTCCATGTATCCTATTGCTGAACTATGTTCATTATAATACTAAAACTCGTGCCTACAGGTCAAAAAGACCCCTGCCCCATGAAGACTCCCTCCCCTAAGCATGTATAGGGGTTATGTAACTTGTATAGAAATTACTAACTGATCATAATAGAGGAGCTGTACTTGGAAAGTTACTAACTCTGAACTTCTGTGTATAAATAATGGCATGAAAAGTCTGGAGGGTCATGCTTCATTTGTGGACCACCACCAAGCACCCAGGCTTGCAGACATCTGGAATAAACAATCCATGTCTCTCTCAGGTGTGTAATTATTACCTTGTTGCACACTAGGTAATGAATCTGATTGTGTGGACAACACTAACATAAGTTGAATTGCTTTCTTTACCCATTATAGCTGGTGATGGCGTTTTTCCTGCTTGTGTAGTTGCAATACCCTTAATTTATCCAGTAATTTCCGTTGGCACATTTGGTGCTTTCTCAAGAAATTAAGAGTTCTTTGAGAAAACATCTTCCTAGACCATTTAAATTCTACCAGATCAAGGTGTCTAAGTTTTCAGAAGGTGGGGGTTTTTGTAGTTCACTTTCCCCAGAAGAAAAAGAAATTCCTCATCTTATGGAAAATGTACACTAAACAGCAATATTCTCCTATTTTTCCTTCTGTACAGAAGATACAGAGAGCCTACACAGGATCTCTCTTGACTATTTAAACAGTAACAATTGAAGCAGGTAGCCAAGCACTTCACTAGTCTTCACATCAAGTGTTCACTACTTATAGTAGCAGTATCATTAACAACAGAGATACAGACACGTATTCATTGTACGAGTAAGTACAAAGCAGGCTGAAATAGGTAGGTAAAGGGGCTGATGCTCTGTCTAGCAGATTTCGAGCAATTGAGTCAGCTGTCCATCCTGTGCACAGAACATTTTATTACTGATCATCAGTTTTTTCAGTTTACTTGAATCAGCAGTTCTGGTCTCATAGAAGCTATTCATGTAGCTTGTCTTCAGGTGCAAATTCTTAACAAAAAAACAGCTTCCTTTCTGCTAAAAATATAGCATGACTTCCGGCAACTTCACAATACTATATGCAGTGAAGTTAAACCTTTTTGTAGCTTGTGCAAAGGTCGTAGAGTATAACTGTCTACAAGAGCATTCTTGCAGAAAAGCCAAAGGGTGGGGAACACAGGGAATTTTCCTCAACTACCTTAGCTCATTTCTTAGCTCTAAGAGGCTTTAATTACCTCTTAATGTGAAACTCTCTGAAGTCTCCCTAAACGGCTTTCAGGTCGTTTTGAAGGCAGGGGTTGGCAAGAATAGGCTCTACTTCAGATTAAATTGCTTGCCTCCCTAGCTGTTTGCATGATAAACAGTAAGCAGCTCATTATGTTAATGTCTAAATATTGAGGCACACCTTAGGAGAAACATCACGACAAACCACCTTTGTAAGAAACACGATACCATTACAGCAACAGTTCACAAAACAAAAATTTTAGTCTGTTTTGCCTCAAATGAATTCCACTATCATCTCAGGAGTAAGATGAGACACCTGGCAGTAACTATGCATGACAAACCAGAATTGATATAGAAAGAAATAATATCATCCCTCACAATATCCTGTTATTTCACCCCCATGCTTCTGTGCCACACTGCAGCAGCTAAACTAAGCAGGGACCTAACTGGAACAAAAATCATCCTGACGCCTTCCTTTCCCTTTCACCAAAAGATGCAAATAAATACACCGGCTAAACCTAAACAAGCACAGACACATGAATGAATATGGAGGTAAGGTAGGACTTATTGCAGCTGCCGCTTCAATTGTATGGAAACCTACAGTAATAACATTTTAGGTCTTCATCATTAGGATTTTTTGGTGGTGTTTTTAGAGGTTCTTCTATGGTGGGAAGAGGTAATATCATTTAGAAAAATAACTTTATTTTTCTGTACTCAATGTTAAAATAATCTGGAATGCAAGTTGAGCTTGACACAAAGCAGAAACCAGCAGTTCCATCAGTGACATTTAGACACTACTGCAGTTAAGTTTTTCAGAAATTAGAGTCATTTTGAATGAATCCAAAAGCAAGACTCCCAGTAGAGTAAGAAGTGTAAAATTACAAGTCTAAATCTAATCAGGTATAAAACTGAAATTTCCCTGAGAAGATGTAATTACAAACTAGTGTATACACTTTATATCACAATATCAGGGGATTTGAGATTACAAAAGCAATATTTGGCTACAAAAATTTAAATCCAATTCCTTAACACTCCACGCTAAAGACAAAATTTTCAAGAGGACTAAGAATTACATGTAACAGAACTGCAGCAAGCAGACTTAAATTATGACAGCTCGCTTTGCATATCCCCTTCTGCATAGTTTTCAGATCATTTCTAATGTTATATTCCTGAGATCTTTCAGTACTCAGTACAAAGTCTGTACATTCCAGCTGCTTTTCCCCCAACCCTTCATCTTTCTCTTCCAGCTAGCATTGCATTCATGGGAAAAAAATAAGGAATAACCATGAATAACACGCATTTTCCAAGCCTTAAAACTAACAGTTTAGCCAAAGGAAATCCATTAATTACACCTTCTAGAAAATAAATATTCCAAATAGTCAGCCTTCCAAAAGTTGCTATTGTGATTTTGTACCTAAAGCTCTGAGCCTCACCGTGCAATACCAGGGATCCCCATATTCACTTGAGACATGTCTTTTCTTCCCCTTGTCCATGGACAAGGCAGGGAGGGCATCAGCACCACTACACCAACATGGTTTATTATACCCATCATCAGCATTACCACCATCGCTGTTACGTGTCAAAGTACTTAGCAGTATAGTATTTGTATCTATGTTTTGTAACAGGAGCATACAGTATTTCACTTCTTTTGCAAATACAAAGCCTTGTGTCGCAAATACTCTTCCAAACATTTCACTGCAAAAGGGTCAACATCAGTGTCAAACTTATTAGCAAAGAAGTGGTGGTTTCGTAGCATCCAGTTCAAGTCTCCTACCCCAAAAACACAGACAGAACGAATGTGAACTCCACTGCATGGTGGGTACGGTGCACCTTTGGACACGTCACCTTCAAAGTACTGCCACTTGACAAACCTGGCCAGTGCATTCATGTCAGAAACGTCATACTTGTCACTAGAAGAAACTGCACCTGGGACATCAGGGATTCTCTGAATTGTTGCCCACAGGTACTCATCTGGGCTGTAAGTATCTTTTGCCCACTCAATGAACTTAAGTATTTTGCTGCTTTCTAACACATATTCTACAAATCTTCTGCTAACTATAAAATAGGCACTACCAGAAAAAATTGGAGTACTGAGAGGTGGTAGTTGTTTGTCTGTGCCTGTGTTCTTTATTTTACCATCAACAATCTCATGGTGTTTTTTCCACCTTACTTCTTTATAAACAGGCATTTTTTCTGTTTCCAAGCTGTTTTCACCTTTAAGGGCTTTTAATTTCTCTACTATTTCCTGGTTGGTTTTTATAGGAAAGTCCATACCACATAGATTTATTAGGTATTTCCAGTTTGAACTTCTACTATAGAGATCTTTCATGCAGTTAATGTCTGCCTGCACTCTGCTCCATGAAGCATATACCACACTCTCTAACTGGCTTGAAATAAAGACATTGTCAAAACATGAGACTATTCCCTTCACAGCAGTGAAAAAAGATTCTGGAGATTTTTTGTCTACATGAATGCAGTAAAAATTCTGTGGAGCATAGATTGATCTTAGAAGTCTATCAAGCATCTCAATTTTGTGATAAACCACTATTGAGTAAGCAATCGGAAATTCTGCCTCTTCATTGCTGAGAGGTTCCATAATGTATTTCCTAGTCTTGGTGAAGGAAGCACAGTCTGCCGTCATGTTAATATAATCATTTGTTGTTAGCCTGGGGCGTTTCTTAAATGACACTGACAATGTCTCAAGCTTTACCTTTTGGATTTCTTCTACATCCCCCTCAATAATCTTGGTGCAGTTAACATTGCTAATAGGATCTTCTTTTGTTAGCTCTAGATGTCTCTGATTTAAGAAGTCTTCTTTCTGGTTAACTTTCAAAACTGAAATGATTACTAAAATAAGAGTTAGACCCAAGAAAAGCCTGAAGCGCAAGTTATGGCAAAACCGTAATTTCCTCTTCAGCATTTCAAATACCAGGTAGCTTCGCACAGCTAAAAAAAAAAAATGTCCTCCCTTCTGCTCATATCAGCATCAACAACTTCAGAAACAAGTTTTTTTTTTTCTCAGGAATTTGGCGAGTTTGTCAGGGAAATGGAAGGAAAAATCCTAAAAAGAAATGAAATATGATGTCATTCAAAGACTAAAACATTTCTTAAAAAAATTAGTAATTAATAATCACATTGTTATTTAGTGACATTAGAAAGATGAATAGTTCAGCCAAAAATATTCTGTTGAAAATCAGAAATTAATGAATAAAATTAGTTTATTTTTCCAGAAAAAGAGTGGGAGAAGCAGATAGTTTTTTATGAAACCCTATTTCCACAGTACTAAGACTGCAAACCAAAGTTCAGTAAGAAAACAGAGCTGATTCAGCTGCATCTAACAAAATTTAAGTCAGATACATTACTGAGAAGCAAGTATTTCTTGTTAATTCATGCTTCAGAGTTTGACAAGAATGTTTTATACCCATTTCAGTGTTGACACAGACATTTGACATAGACATTATCATTAAAACTTACCACTTCCTGGATGGTAGTCATGCTTTATTTCTCACAATAAAAGAAGGCAATAAAGGCAAAGAAGATCCTGAAGCCTTTCAACATTTTTATGTGAGGTACAGTCTCTTCAACATCTTGTGCATGAGCTTAGAAATACCAGCAGGAAACAGCTGATGAGAAGAGGAGGGGAAATTAGTATAGCACAGCACCTCAGTTTTGAGAGAGTTGTGAGAACAACTGTTACTGAATTGCTGAAATACCTTTCTAAGGTAAAAGACAATACTTATCACCTATTTCTCAAGCTGACTTGTGTGAAGTCACTGCAAATGCACAAACCTAAGAGCACAGCAGTGTTGTATTACCATTGTTTAAACACACTTGTTTTTATGTGGAAATATGCTGCAAGGTTGAGTAGTGGTAAGATTTCTAATATGACAATTTTATTTTCATCTTTACTTCACAGGCACTACATCATTTTTGTTTGTTAGCTTTGTTTCCTCTTAAGCACCTTTTTTCTGTTTCAGATATTCTGTGAAGGGATCACTGCATAGTAATGCAGCTGCTACAGTTGTAGCTGTTGAGAAAACTGCAGTCTAAAGTGTATTACAGAACTGGGTATCTTTTTTTTTTTCTAAGTACTACCTTAAGCAGGCAAATTGATATTTACCTGAATATCAAGAACAGTATATCCTTAAACAACTTACATTGCTACTCAAGTGCCATTTCTATTCACAAATTCACTGCCTAATAATTTAGTGCAGGTTTGAATTTCAACCTCTAACTGCAAAAGCCTATACCATTTTCAGAGAATGTCTTCCAAAATTTGAATCTGTAAGTTAATGAAATATCAAGTATCTGAGAGATATAAAGCTCCTTAAATTTCTGCTACTTTCAAGAAAAAAACAGTGCCTCTGAATAACTTTCTGAACAGCTCTAAGAATAACAGCTACTCAGAAAAACTGGTAAGAAACTTTAGGAAAAAGAAGCGGTACTGCATCCACTTCTGGGTTTTGCTAGAGACTGTTCAGCATAAGAATTTCCTTTTTTTGACCCTCTTTTCTTTAAGCAACCCCAGTATCATTTTAGCTTTTAATTCATCAACTGTGGCTCTTAGCCTGCTACTTGCACATCTCAGAATAGGTACGTTTAAGAAACTGAGACCTGGCATCAGAGTTTTTTGTTAGTAATGCTGCCATTGGGATGCACTACACATTGGGTCCACCACTTTGCCCACAGCACTGCAAACTGAGGGAGCTGACACATGTGCAGGAGATAGGGGGAAGGTGCGGATCACTGCACAAATGTTTAACACAGCCATGAGGATCAGCAGTATTCTAAGCACTATAATCAAGTATTTTGTAACTCAAGCCACCAGCAAGCAGAGACCACAAACTAGACATGAATTTGTGACTAACAGCATTATATAAACATCTTAACTACTGTAAAGTGTACTTTGTTTTCAGAGCTGCAATTGTAATTATTTTATCCTGCATTTCTAATTTATCTTAGGGAGGGCAGACATTTGTTTGGAAGAAAATTTAAATTTTAATCCTTAAGACAAGTAGCCAGGTGAGCTAGCATGCAATTACAGCTGAAAACATAGAGCCGTACATTTTAAGAATCAGGTCTCACACTTTGAATTAAAATAAAATTTTAAAAGGAAAATTCCACAGTTCCAGCTTTTGGTTTGCAATGTGACATCAAACACAATGACATAAGACAGAACAAGTTTTAACATGTTTTATAACTTTATCACACGCTTACTTGATGTCCTGCTAGTTTTGACTGGTAGGTCTGATCCAATAAAAATAATATTCATCACATATTAAATTAACAAAGTAAGGATACAAGCTATGTATGTGATACTGTCTATTACGGTTTTCTGCCTAACAACTTAAGACTTTTTTAGAACTTAAAGTGTACTTCAAATACACTTATATTTGTGATACTTTAGGTGACAGAAGTCGGAATACTTTCTTTAAGCTGTTAGCACTACCATTTTATCCTATTCTTAGTTTTTAGAGGACCACTATCACTGAAGAGTAACACACACTCAAGAAGATTACTACTCCCTCGCTGTTTTTACAATGCAGGAAACAGTCTTAATTGAAAATGACTATTGTGGTCTTCACCTTCTAAAATTTTCAAAGAATAAAGCTTGCTAAGAAGTCTTTCCTGCACCAGTTTCAGAATAAAACTTAATTGAAAGCAGGATAAAGAATCTCTTTCAGAAAGGCCTTGTATACCCAGCTGGGTGCAATTCCTCTATTGTTATGAGCTCAGAATAGTAAGACCCTGCATTTTCATTATACCAAAATGAGAGATCTGCAAACATTTACACATTAACATGGCTCTTATCTTCACATGGAGATTTTTCCCCTGCAGTCAAATTTTTTTTCACTGACACACTGCCTCCTCTGACCAATTTTAACAGTAAGTTACTATTTGTTTACACTTGCAATTTCTAAGTCCTAAAGCTTGATCATATCCCATTCACAGAAGCTGACCTTTACAGGGTAAGATTTGGTACCTTTCATCTAATAATACATCTAATATTCTTAACAAGCCTAGAATACTCATTAATATAGCTTTCAACTGCATTCAGTAAAGCTTTTAACAACTTTTTCTTTAGCTCTGCGTAGTTTTAATGTGCATACTCGAGAATACCCTGTCAGAGGCAGTACTTTGCACTGTGGGAGAGCTGAGAGACGTTTGTGCCGCCACCGAGAAACAGCTTTATTTAGCAACTTTCGTCTTGCTCTCAACTGAAGTTCAGCTGCAGAAGTTACATACCTGACCCACTTCCTTTTTTACTGCCTCCTACTCAAGTCAGAGTCTGTATTTCTGATGCAGTAGTCATTTAAAGGGGAAACTTATAGCAGTTGCTGGTAGCTGGGGTAGTTAGTACAAAGGCTGAGTTAGCCGCCCACTTCCCTCTTTCCTGCCAAAATTATTCTTCACTGCTGTATACAAACTGTACAGTATGATTAAACAAATCCAAGATAATTTCAACTTGATTTCTACTAGAAACTCGTGTTCACCATTTAAACAGACCTTATGGAAAGAAGGATTACTATACCTAATTTAAATCTCCATTTCTGACATCTCTTCTGTGTCAGAGAGCATATCACTTGGCTTATTTGCATCTTAAGTTTGTTTTGTGAACAAATAAAAACAACTAAACAAAAAACTTTTACAACATCATACCACAACTTGGAGGGAGACCAAAGTTCACATGAAGGTTTTATGCAGACAGGCTGGACTGGAGCTGCCAGTCCTAAGAACAAGGATGCTTGTGAGGGCACAGAGCCAGCAGAGCACTGCCACACCAGCCCTGACAAAGGGTGTGAGCCTCAGTCCAGCATCGTGGACACCGGCCTTTGGCCACCAGCACAGCAGACCTCTTCAGCTGTGGTTTCACAGTGGAACTGGTCTGACATCATGATGTGCTGGTGATGAAAGGAACGACCCCACATCTCTGCCAACCACACATCAGGCCAGGAGGGGTACAACAACAGATTGAACCAGCTGGGCTCTAGGGAGCTCTCCAACATCAGCTCTCCTGGTTACCGGCAGGGCCACAAGAGCCCTTGACAGCTCCAACCAGCCCCCTCTGCGCTCCCCAGTGATCTCATTGCACACCAGTGACACCACTGCAGGGCCAGTCTCCAGCCCCCACAGTCTGGCCATGGACAGTGACAAGCTGATCCAGTCCAGCCTCAGCCAGGGAGGTGCCTGATGTCAGGGCACATCTGTGCCCACCAACTGCCCCACTCCTAACCAGGCCCTGACAGACCCGACACGGGGAGCCACCAGCCCTGCGGAGCCACGGAAATCTCCCCTCGCCATGCCACAGTCCAGCAAACACAGGCTCTGGGCTGTAGGCTCTCGCTTGGACTGATTATAGCTGGAAGTGAGAGATACAGCTTTTCCTAAATGAGGTGAAAAGCAACAGCAACCTCTAACCAGCGTTATGCTAGGGTGGCACTGCTCTCTGGGCTATTCACTCTGCCTGAGTTACAGCACCGGTTTTGGGAAAATGGGACTCCTGGCACTCCAGGGCCTCCCTCATGCCAGCTCACCTAAAACACATTGTCCTCCTCCGTCCTGCCTGAAGCAATTTAGAGAGCAGAGTGAAATAGTAAATTAAGTAAATATTTTTTGTATTTAATCAATTACCAATACATTTTCACTCAAAGTATAATTTTTCCTCCAAAAAAGCCGTTAGGGCTTGCAATGAAATGGTGCACAGATCCATGTCATGGTAAGATGAAAATCATTAGGGGCTGGTGGCATAGGAATAAAAGAGAAAAAGCAGTTGTCTTTCAATTTTGGCATTTCATTCTTCTCTCGTATCAGTGGAAAAACAGTTGATGCAATACTTCAAACACTGATTTAGCAGATGCATTGCAGCCTCCAAAATACATCTTGGGCCAGTATAAGCACCAGAAATTCAGAAGGCAGCAGGTACACGGTAAGAAAGTACTCTGGGGTACTTCAGCAGCCTGTACATTTTGTCAAAAGCTGGCAAAAAGGCAGGAAAGACCTTAGAGTTAGGAAGCATCACAGAGGCTGGCAGAAGTCAAAACAAGTTCTAGCAAGA